GAAGTCATTTTTTCATCTAGCTCCATTTGTCTGGAACTCTCTCCAACAACATTTGGGGTATACAAAATCGAAGGCAAAACTTTTAAAATATCATTTTAAAAGATACTTTATGAAGTGTCATCTTGCAAGTTAGTCCTTCCTGTTCAAAATATTCTTATGCACCTTAATGTGATGTGCATAATATCGTCAACGATTGTTATGTGATAATATAAATGTCTGCTTATGTGTTAGTGTTAATCTCAAGAGCGCTGTGCATGCATGTTCAGGCATATGTATTATGTATTAAGATGAACATATTGAGATGCGCTTATGGCTTAGAACTATATTATTGTATGGGAGTACACCCTATATAAATGACCCGCATTATTTTTGTTATCTTTCTGCTAGGATGCTGTATCTTTCTTAGCCCACGTTGGCCCTGAGAAGCAGAGTCGAAACAGCTTGCCTTCTGAATGATATGTGTCACGACGCGGTGGAATCAGGCGTTCGTCAATTTCTAAGTATGTGAAGTTATTGATGTCATCCTAAAGTTTGCTCATTTTTCTTGCTTTCGATAAGAAAATATCCATCTATTGTGAGTAGAAGTTGAGATATTCCTGTATGAAGGAGTTGGGTTCGTCCGATTTCAGTGGTAAAACTAGCGAGAAAAGTGGCTGCCAAAGTTTGGTGAATTCCATAGCTTGAAAGTCCTTGGAAATTGAAAATTTACATTTTTTGTGCATGTATTCAACGTTTTTCAGCAAAATCCACGAATAAATGTGTTTATAAGTGGACCGACATAAAAGGTGCTAAGATTTAAGAAAAAACAACATTTGATATAAATTGCAAAAACAAGGGAAAGATGCAGGTTTCTTCAACTTCATTATTTTTTGACGCGCAACTGATTTCACCACACTTCCCCTCATATTATCCATGTGAATTGTGTCGAAAGGAGCCTAAAACAGATTCCACCAATAAATCTAATTCTGGTGCTCCTCTTGTCAGTATCTCACTCCACCGTCACACCCGCTGATTCGTTTGTGGCCAGATTCTCTTGTCACTTCGTCTAGCTGCCTGTGGATGGTTGGAGGACGTCACTGGGAGGTTCTGCTTCTTTACTTTTCCTTTTTTTTGTTTCGGTCTGTTTGACTTTCATTTTGAAAGCACTCTGATCATTATTGTGTAGATGTGCTTCTCTCGACTTAAACATTCAAGCCTAGCTGCCTGTCTACTTGTTTTTTCCCCATCAAATATCTACCTTCCTTATCTCTCCTTTTTTGTGTTGGTTACTCTCTTGTAACACCTCTAGTCTTAATCGGCACTTATATGACCTAATTGAGTTGCAAGTGACGCAGAACCCTTACTAAAGCTGATTATTTTCTTACCTAAATGCAAGTGCATGGCTGGTGAAATGATGTGGTCTTCCCTTTTATGTACTTTTTTATACTTTCCCTTTCATCCTAATCTGTTGAAGGAGTACGTAGATCAAGTCCTCTGTTTTGAAATGTCATATTCTGCATCACAGTAACCTTATATCTTAAACATTTGGTGTGGGTTTTTTTTCATTTGTGCACCCCCTCTCTCTCCCTCAAACTCATCCCAACGGAAAAAACCCAACAAATATTTATATAAAATATCTAGTTTTGATTTCTTGCACAACACCCTTGGTCACATTTTTGCGTCCACTTGTATCAACGCGTCGTGCAGATTGGCTGTCCCCCCTCCCCGATCACTACCCTCTATCTATTTTGACGTCAATATCTGGCATGAGTCATATGGGTGGAAATTCCCAAAGCTCTTCAAGAATGCACTTTTAGGAATCACATCAGGAACATCATTTTCGCCATGCTCCCACTCCCAGCAAGCCTGGCACATTTTTGGTAGAGATCTTTCCGGGCCCCAAAATATTTTGGAGCCGATTCGCTAAAGCTGCTGCTAGTTACCCGCACGTTTGTCGTCTTTCTGTGGTTCTGAAGTGCTTCTTTCTCTAGAAGCCTTGCCCATGAGTGCTTTCACAGGCGATATTATTGGCTCGATTGCACAATGAGGCATGTTTAGATTTTGTATGATAATAAATAATAATAAAATAATAATAAATAGTAGTTGTACAGCGCGTATCCCTTCTCGAAAACACGCCCAATGAGCTTTACAATGTATTATTATGTTGTGTATTCATTTTGACCGTGGAGGTCGTTCGAACCCACCGGATCCTGGAACTAGAGTGGTCATACCCTATTGAAATTGTTTTGAGTGTGTGAAGCGGAGGTTGTTTTTTAAATCTTCAAAAGGATGTATGCGAGAGTTAAAGTTATAGACCGTACAAAAGGTAAATATCTAAAGTGAAAATATTCGTAGAAAATAACTAGCTCCAAGTAACCTATGCATCTAGAATGATATTTACGGAACTAATGACAAGTTTTGTGTCAAGATCTGTCGTTACCATTATTTTGCTGACAAAATGTTTTCATTGTAAATTGTTCATATGCGAGTAGAAAATGTAAGAAGTGCTACTGGAAATGATACACGACTGGGCAAAGTTTCAAATTGGAAATCCTGAACCGAAACTCGACCATGAGCATACTTGAATACTATTATTATATATTATATTATATTATCATTATATTTATCCCCTATTTGTACAACGTGATATCTTTCGGAGATGTCAATTAGAAACATATAACATCTTGCTTTGCTCTAAGTTGGTTTTCGTCGACAGATCATTACATTTTCTCTTCTGTTGTTTGTCTAACTTTTACTCCCATCTGTTTCCTGCACTTTTTCTTGTTTTAGTTTTTGCTCCAGGTAGACCGGAAGCCCTCATGCGTATTTCCTTTTAAAAGAAACCTGGTTAGTCTTTTATGTTATTGTATCCTATTTTGGTAACAATTTTAACTATTTCAAGAAGAAGAAGAAAAAGAAGAAGAAGAAGAAGAAGAAGAAGAAGAAGAAGAAGAAGAAGAAGAAGAACAACAACAACAACAACAACAATAACAATAACAACAACAACAACAACAACAACAACAACAACAACAACAACAACAACAGCAACAAGGACAACAACAACAACAACAACAACAACACCACCACAAACAACAACACCAACAACACCAACACCACCAACAACAACAGCAACAATAACAACGGCAATTATATATCTCGTATCCACGCTCTACAGCATGCTCTAAGCGTTTTAAAACTATTATTTCTGCAGACTTTATAAGAGCACCCGGAAACATTCTCGACATCAGAGCAACATTTAATTGAGATTTAGAAAATGACTTTTAAAATGTGCACTGATGTATTATATTTTTAGCCACGACGTGTTGGGATCTTGCACCCGTCTATTTTTGTGCATGTAAAGTTATATTAATGATATCTTCTTAAAGCTTGTTCATTTGTCTTGCTTTGAAGGAAAACAATACTCAGTTTGATGACTTCCATTGTAGGAGATTCCTTCGAAACTGAAAATTTTTCTTTTATAATGGATGAACAGATGTACTGACCACACACCTACCGAGCCGATATTATTTCGTCCTTTTGACAAAAAAACCCCCCGACAGCATAGAGACACTGGTGGTATTCTGAGGCGTATAACTCAAGCCGACTTTACTGACCAAGAGAAGGAAAAAGGATGAAGGATTAAAACTCATCTGTAGTAATGAGAGATCAAGGTGCCATTAGAAAGGCAGAAAGAAGAACTGTGGTCTCTATAGCATACACACTTGACCTATTGTTTTAATAAGGGTTTTACGGCACTTGCATCATAATAAGGTCATATATATGCCGAAGAATAGATGCGTTACAAGAGAGTAACATATCCAAAAAGAAGGAGGAGAGATAAAGACGATAGATGTTTGATACGAAAGAAGGAGCAAAACACACAAGAGCACCCACCAACCGCCCCATACACCTCACTTAGAAATGGAAATGCAAAGCTTGGATTTATATCCCAACTGCCCAATCACAATATAATATGATAATGTAAATGTTGAATTCGTCGGTCGTTCTTCTTCGACCACCAAAGGTGGAGCTTGCACCACCATCGTCATTCTGATTCATGAGTATTGGCACCAGGCAGACTGCTTTGAACCAACCATAGATTTCAAACACACAAACAAACAAGCTAGCAAAACTCTGTTGTTTATCGGGCATCCAGTCGACGGACTCTATCCTCATCAAAGAATATCCATTTCAGCTTGACTATCACTTTAACAGTTATGACAAAAGACTCCACGAGAAGCAAATAGATGTGAGACATGAATGAGATTAGCTGTCTTCGGCGTTCTTGCAAAAAAAAAGAAAAAAAAAAAAGAAAAAAAAAGAAAAGAAGTGGAAATGTTAATTGTTGTCTTAGAGCAGTGACGAGTTGAGGGAGTGTGTTCCTCGTGTTGTTGTTCTTGTAGTTGTTGTTGTTGTTGTTGTTGTTTTTGTTGTTGTTGTTGTTGATGTTGTTGTTGTTGTCGTCGGCCGTCTTCGTTGTTGTTGTTGTTGTTTTTGGTGGTGGTGGTGCTTTTTTGTTGTTGTCTTCATTTATTATTGCTGTTGCTGAAGCTCTTGCTGCTATCGATTCGGCAGCATTTTTGAGCTTTCACACTTTTGCTGGACCTGTTGTTTTGTATGCACGTCTGGTGTTGTCCCGCGTCGTTTTGTTGATAAACTTGGCGCCTCCCACAAGACGTTGCCCTGTTGGTGAAACAGAGTTCGGCAGGACTCGAACATTATCTCCCTTATCCAGCAATAGTTTTTCCTCTTGCACGATGCACAGAAAAAAGACAAAAATTTCTGCCCACTGAATGGCCTACAATGTTTGACAGGCTGGTATTAATTATTTTTTTAAAAGAAGAAAAACAACAACCCCC